GCAGAACATCCCGCGAATCGTCCTTGCATCGTCCCACAGTCTTACATAAGACTTCATCCGAATAGATATCAATTGAATGGGAATTGATTCTAAACACGTTTTCTGCCTTTAATCACGCAATGCAAAAATAGGCTTTCCTATTTCCGGTTACCTAGTACCGGAGCGAATGACAGCGATCTACGGATCTACAGAGAATTCCCAAAATTCTTACAATCTAGTATCAATCATTTTTTTTTTTTTTTTTCTTATTAACTTTTGTCGTTTTGTTCGTCCGAAGAAGTTGTTCTATATTATTACAAGGCGAATCCTCGATCGATTGGAATAAACGTATTCCAAAATTTTTCTTTTTGAATTTTTTGACCGCCAGCGATCAATTCGAATTCAATCGTTGAATATAAAATAATAATTTTTTTTTTCTTAATAGTTTTTATAACATTGTGAATTTTTAAATTTAAATAACGTATCATGCCGAATTTTAGAATAGTTTAAGAATATATCAGGTTTCAATATTTGATCAATATCGAGTATCATTATATTTCAAAATACATTATTCTCGATATTATGAACATTGAATAGGTTTTTTAAGTACTCTTGAATATTAAATACTGGTATTTAATATGTTAAATCATCGAGTACGAATATTTAAATATTTCTCAATACTAAATACCAATATTAAAGTATCATAGAATAATAAATACAATATTTGAGCACTTTTGAGCTAGTATTTGATATTTGAATGATATTTAACTTTTCGATGTAATAAATAACGCTCATTATATGGGGCGTTAATATCTAAATAGGAATTATCCTCAAGTATAAATTATAAATAAACATATCGTAGTTAAAGATAAAATCGATTATTTGATAGAAATTGTTTTCTATCAAATAAATAAGAACGGAATACGTCGTTCCATGGATCGAGTATTCAAAAAGGTACAATGAACGAAAATTACACGGTCGACAATTCTATTTGGTCGCACCAAGTATAGATTGATTCGATTGCAATGTATAGTGTCGGCCTCGGTATCGCTGGTATAATAACAATCGAAGGGGATGATGATGATGAGGAAAAATGGAGGGATAAAGGGTAGAAGGAATTTATCTGTGAAGCTGGTGCACATCGTATCTATAATTTTCTTACAATACTGTGTCGATAAACGTCTAAGTACCGGTGTGTGTCTGATGGTTTTCTTTTTGCGCACATACCTTTTTTTTATCTTTTGTTATTTGCTCTTTTTTTTTTTTTACACATTACATTAAAATATAACACCAATCTCGATTCGCTTACGTTATACATATATATACGTGAGTTCTTATTTTTTTTTTTTTTGTTTTTTATTCGTTTCTTTTAATGTATTCAGCGATGATCGTTCGAACAGTCTCTCACCGTCAAGCGTTTAGAAGAGTTCCGAATTCAATATTAACATGCTCGCACTTCGCGTTTAATTGACGACACTGGAAAATGCAGGCTCCGCGGATAGCAATTAAGATAAGTAGGAAAGTCTCTGTGTGAAGTGTAATTAATTATTGAGTAGTAACATAATTAAGAAAAAATTGTTTGTTGATGTTATTTTAATTATAACAATTCATTTCGTTAATAAAATCATTAATAAAAATATTTTATTATATTTTTATCGATGAAATCATTTTTTTTATTTATATTTGATTAATAATTTATAGAGTTTCTCAATAACTCAACCAATTTCTCAATAATTTTTTTTATAATTGTTTTGGAATATTTTTTTTTCAAATTATTTCTGAAATAGGATGTATGAATTATTATTTTGAAATTTATATTGTAAGATAATATTATTTTAATAGGTGAATTTGTCATACGTTACTACGCAATATTTAATACGCTGTAAAGATTTTTCTAAAAAATTATTGTGCTGTCAGTTTCGTGCTAATTTTCTTGGAAAAGAAAAAAATTGAAAGATTTCCAATTTCTTTTTTTACTGTTATCCTTTCAACTATTTAGTGGATGGTTATTGTACAATTCTTTGAAATTTGTAAACGCGAATAATCTTACTTTAAGATAATCGTGTATTAAAGTACTTGTAATCAAAATATTTTTTTTCTTAAACAATTGTATGTAAAAAATTTAAAGATTTTGATTGCAATAAAATTTTTATTAAATTATAAATATTCAATTATCAAAAATTCTCATTTCGTTTATCTAATAATTTTCAAGTCAAATTACATTATAGAGAATTAAATTTTCTAAAGTTCCTTTTTTTTTTTTTAGATATTTCAAATCACTAACATAATATTTGTCACTTAACTTAAAGATAATCAACTATAATTTTGATTGCACAAGTACTTAAATACCTTCCCTACTCACGTTTCACAAAAATGGCCCACGCTCTTTAAATCATCGCACACCACTCTCACCATTCTCTCACGAAATTTCCAAATAATGATTATCAGAAATATTTTTGGAGCGTATGCAAGAGCGAACATTGCTGAGATATCACAGCCACAATGGCTGGTTTTTTTTTTGCGATGGATGCGTAAAATGGTACCTTAAATCGGTCGTAATGCATCGGCAGCAGTGCGGAGGATAGAAAAACGAGGGAGCAGCGTAAAACGGCAAAAGATTAAGTCTTCACAGCCTTTCATATAGTTAAGAGAATCGATTAGATATTACAGAGCATTTTATTTTTTACGGTTCGTTTTTTATATTTTTATTATTATTATTTTTTTTTTAATACTCTCGAAAAAATGGACCCGTGCGACCCTTTGTTTCAACTTGTTTTTTTACTTTATTTTATTTACTTTGTGTCTTCCTCTTGTCTTCTCTCTTTCTTTCTTCTTCTTCTTCTTCTTCTTCTTCTTCTTCCTCTTCTTCTTCTCCTGTTTTTTTTTTATCGTTTTTAATTAATTTTTTTTCTGGAACTTAGACCGTGTGTTTCTTGTGTGTTTTGTATTTTGTGGCTGTAGCACTTGCTCGGATAAAAGGGAAGGGGGATAATGTTAAACTCGGAAGTCTTCCAGAGACATTCGTAAAACCGATTGGTCGAAAATATTATTCTAGAATCCGTTTAGGGTATAAAGTGTAGTTGTGAACGATTATCATATTAGATAATTATAACGATAAAAATGGACATTGTCTTATCGTGGGATGGAATAGGCTGTGTAAGCTCCGTCGATGCTAGATGCTCCACTGTGTGTTATTATAAACGTGATTATTATAAACGTAATGAGAAAGAAACAAAAGGCATAAAAAAGAAAGAAAATATGTATGTACAATTTATAACTTTTACAATAAAACAATTATAAGATACTTATAAATAAAATCGAAGATTTTACAATTGTTGTTTTAGAAATTAAACAAAAATTTCATGTTTCATTGTATCGATAAAATATAAACAAAGAAACAAAAAAAAAAAAAAAAGAAAAAACAAGAAATATAATGCATCGTGTCTAAAACGAAAATTATTTTGTTAATCGTATGCCAGGCAGACATGTAGCATCACTGTGACATTTGTGAGTCTTAAATTTTCTTTCATCTTTAATAATCTTGAATTACCAAAAAATGGACAGAGATACCTTCGTCCGCGGCGTTTCCTTTTCGTGTAAATACGCTTTTATTTCTTTTATAATTTTACTTGTAATATTTTTTTTTCTCTCATAATTGCTCGCGAGAAATCAAGTCTCTCTCTTAATTAATTAACCACTGTTTTCAGGAAACGTCGCGTCGTAGGCGAGTTTTTATTATTTATATTCAATAAATATTACATATACAGTAATATGTTCATTATTGATATAGCATTTAGTATTGTTCTAATTGGACAGAAGTTGTTGTTCATGTTGTTGTGATTATTTGGTTGCTGTTGTTCACAATTTGGGCGAATTTTCCTTTCTCTCATTCCTCCACGGTTATCATCTTAATCGTTCATTGCTTCTTTCATTCAACGTTCATTTCTTCGATTCATATCTTTAACCATTTTTCCCTCCTTTATACTATATTCTCCTCTTCTTTTCGTATCCTTTTCTTTTCGCACAATCTATCTTGTAAATTAAAAAAAATATGCGATACCGCCATTTGATTTTTCTCTTATAAACGACACCTTTATTAATCGTCACTTATTACCTTTTTTTTTTTGCACAGTCCTTTTTTTACCTTTTTCCTCCTCTTCCTTCTCTTCTTCTTCTTTTTTTTTTTTTTATCTAAACGAATATATCGTAGATTTATTTATTTATTTATTTATTTTTTTTTTCGTCGAACGAGAAATCAGTATCGTCATCGTCGTACTGAGCAAAAATCACGTTTTGAAATCGTATCAAATATATATATGTATATTATTAGAGTTATATCGCGGTGAAAAATTTTAACCCAAGAAGAGAAAAGTGCAGAATCGAAATCGTGATAAATCGTGGCAAAATCACGATGGAAAAAATAGAGAAAGAAAGAAATAACGTCGAATCAACGTCGGCTATATGCAAATTCAAAAAATACAATGAAGCAAGCTCGTATTATTATTATTATTATTTTTTTTTTTTTTCCATTTTCTTTAATATTCGATCTCTATTATCTAAAACTTACGAACCTAATATTGCGATCCTAATGTGATCGTGTTGCACTCGAATAAAATACACAACTAGCCCGGCGAGTTGATTTGTGATAAATAAAAACGAGGGCCAGTGTGAATTTCCTTTCCTTTCCTTTCTTTTTTTTTTTTTCTTTTTTTTTCTTTTTTTTTCCCCCATTAATTTCTATGATATCGTGCAACACGGCACGATTTTCTTCCACACATTTTGCGCTTTTTATATAAATTAATCGCGTGTCATGTTCGCGTTAACAAACGTAATGCTGGACAGAGGACAATAATTGTATGTTACAATAAAAAGGAACTTAACAGATTGCGCTAAAAAAATACAATATATATATGAAACAATTGTATACATATAAAATCTTTAAATAATCTACGCAACGCGGTAAATTCGTGTTTCGAGAAAAGAATTCTTCTTTTTTTAAATTATTCTTTATATCCATCCTGTATTTATTTATTTATTTATTTATTTATTCTTCCATTGGTTACTTCTCCGACATTCAAAATTACCGCCTGGCAATTTTGGAGAGTGTCTTTTTTTTTCCCCCCCTGTATATTTCTATGTATATGTTATATCAGCAATTTTTTATAAAATTGCCAATTGTTATTTTGTTTTATTATTTAACCGATTGTGGATAACGTAACGTGGCATACATGTATCTGTGCCGATATTTCAATATATTTTTTTTGTTTTTTATTCTCAATTAAACGCAAATTAGATGCTTAGAAGTTACGAAGAATATTAACGTCTAAGAGGCGGTCGATTCGAATTGCCATCAAATGGTAGAAGATTACGGTCGAAATAAGTGACTCCAATATATTTCCCTCTTTCTTCGATAGCGTTAAAAAATGTACAATTGATTACGCGAAACTAAACGGATGCTTCCTCTTATGTAAAAAGTAAATGGCTCATCATCCCAGTCGTTTAAAATAAAAAGTTTTGTGGAATGCTTACAAATTATATATGATAATATATATATTATATATTCGATTGAATATCATCCGCTAACTCTCTCGATACGATGAAAGAAAATAATTCTTTTTGTTCGTATCGATATTCTTGCGCGCAGACGCTTTTTCTCATTCTCTCTCTCATTCGAACTATCTCTCCCTCTCTCTCATTCTCTTTCACTCTATCTCTCTCTCTCTTTCTCTCTTCTTTCGCGCTTAACTCTCTTCCTCTCGCTCTCTCTTTCTCTTTCTCTCTCTCTCTCTCTCTCTCTCACTCTATCTCGCTCTCGCTCTCGCTCTCGCTACGCTACTGAAATGCGAATTAATTGTAGATACTATGCTTCAGAACAGCATATCCTGTTCGAAAAAATTGAGAGAATGTCCCATGCTTTGTGTGATACACATTAATGACCTAATAATTTTTTTTTTTCTTTCAAGTAATATTCATAAGTAATTAGTTATAATCCATAGCTGCCCTAAATGTCTAAGGGACTGAAACACTGCTGCTACACATATCATAGGCATGTAGCAATTAGGATATTTAGTGGCTTATTAGTAAAACGAAGTTATGGTGAAGCGGTGTTGTTGTGTGATCCGTTTACTTGCCCCGTGGTGAAGATCGTGTGCCTGTCGTTGAGAGGCCCTCCCCTCGACTTCGACTTCGGTGCAAGGAATGTAAACCCTCACCTGGAATAAAAAAGAATTTGATTGAAATTATTTGCTTCTTGATTGAAATTAATTATTGCCTTCTTTTTTTAGAAAAATATTATTGCCAAATCCTCAACAATTGAGATTAAAAGACTTGTGATACTTTAATCGATTATCAAGTAAGATATTAAATTATGTAAATTTTGAGAAATCGGAGATGAAATCATGGACAAGTTTGTAAGTAAGTAAAATTAATCAAGCAAAATGTCTTTACCTCTGCTCACACTTCTGCGCATCGGTGCAGGTTGAGGGGTGCTGGTGTAATTTCTAAGTGCTCGGCCCCGTTTGTCTTGAATTAATTTGTCCACTTTGACGAAGATTCCGCATTTCGGTCGACACGTGAAGTACCTATGGCCATTCACAGCACCATCGTTTTTACCTGTAACGAGAAAATTAATAGCCTCGAATCAATATACAATCAAATGAGAAACTTTCATAAATTATTGAAATTCTAGATAAAATTATGGAAAAACTTTTTTTATTAATTTAAGACAGAAGACTAATTGTTAAAAAAAATATTATTCTATATTAGAGAAAATTAACAATCTTCTGTTTAAAAATAGTGAATCTCACCAGTCGGGGCATCAAGTTCAATTCCTATCCACGTCCCAGATGCAAATTCTGTTGGGCCAACATACGCTATCACACCGGAATAGCTGTATGGGCGAACCAACACTGATTCACCAATTACAACCCAGTCTGGGAGTGGAGTTTCGACTCTGCTTAAGTCGTGTCTCGAACCGAAAGCTGAACTTTTGTCGCTCACATCATCTGTTAAGTTTTTAGAAAAGAAAAAAAGAAAGAAATTTAATTAGAATATGTATTTGCAAAATAATTTTTTTTTCTTTTAGTGAATACAATCTATCTACCATCGATTCGTTCAGATGAGCTGTTATCACCGTTTTCATAGGGCATGTTGGGTTGCATTGATTGTTCAAGCCGTGCTGCAGCTTTGCTCTCTGAAAGTTGTGGACGGACCATGGGGAACGAAGCCCTGTGCTGAGAACTCGTAGGCCTTCCTGTGCTAGCAGAAGCTTTTCTTCGTCGCACGACCTGTGATTACGAGATTAATTGCTTAGTTAATACAAAAATGATACAGTTAATTAAGAAAATTCAATTCATTTACTCAATTAATCGTTGAGTAAATATTGAAATTTAATCAAGATATTGTGACTTTTGAGTGGAATTAATTTCAACTTTCTTCATTTCTTCGATTCCTTGAATGTACAGCAAGTAGTATAGAGATAAGAAGATATTTACCTTGCCTGGTGGTAGCTTCGTGTGTACAACCGAACTACCCTCCAAAGGGCTGTCTTCTCCAGAATTCGACGCCTGGCTAATTTCCATGTCGCTTTTTCTTCTATTACTCAAAACCTGGCTCGGTGCATCTTTCTTTTGAATAGAATTTATACGCGTTGCACTGGTATTTGCATCACTGTCGCTTTTCGTCGAAGAAACTGGGCTGTCGATGTCCGCATCCACGTAAGCGCCTGTTTCTTCCAAATTTTTCCTACTACGATCTATAAAATAGATAGAAAAACAAAAGCATGCAATAATTGCATTCTTTGAAATCCTTACAACGAATATTAACCCTCTGCACTCCAACCCTGTTTCGCTCGGTCGAACCAGCAACTCAGATCAGCGATGGTGACCTCATAAGATTACCATAAGATAATTACTCATAAGATTACACCTCATAAGATTATACATAAAGGGCTTAAGAACCTATTTATGAAGCGATATTCTAAAAGAATCAAACATAAATAAATATTGTCGCCGCAACAATTCCAGTGAAGAGTCACCGCTGGAGAGCAAAGGGTTAAGCTTTCGATTCTTAACATATTTTTATGAATATACAATTCTACAGCTGAATAAAAATCTAACGATTTCAACAAATCCTTCAGTTATCCTAACGCAACGAAATATTTAAATATTTAAATATTTGTTCTGTCAAGAGCTGTTCAACTAACCCTCGCCACAAGTGTTCTCCATCACGTTCAAGTTGCCCAACGCGTTAGTCATTTCACCCATGTATTCTTCCGGCGTTTCCTCCACCAACGAGCTGTCCATCCTTTCCGGTTTCTTGTTGTCCAACAAATTTCGATATTCCAGATCCGGGGTCTCGTCCACGCTGATGGATTTGACGGAGATCGAGTCCTCGGACGTGAGATTGGTCGTGGACACAGCTTGGGAACCGTAACCACTGCTGCTCATGCTTGGCGTGTTGATCTTCGTCGATTGAAGTTCGACGAGAGAATCCAGTGTGCGTGAAGAAGTTAGCGGTTTTACTGGTTTCACCGGTGCCTGAACGTAATCGCGTGTGATTTGATTGTGATAATGGCGATAACCGCGAGAACTTAAGAATTTTTCTTTTCTTATTTCTCGATCGTGAACTGATGAGAAGTAACAATTTATATGTTTGATCACACGTTAGCCCATTTTTTATGTTTTTTTTTTCCATTTTTAATTTTCATCCAACAGTATGTTAGATTAATATGTATTTCATTAAAATTTATTTATTTTTCTTAATTAATATTTATGAAATTGCAAATCCTCGTAGGAATTGTTCATATTTATTTAAATATTTCTTTTCGTGAGATCGTGTCACGATCTTCAAAAATCTCCATATTTTGAATGAGAAATGAATGTAATAATCGTGTATGTAAATATACGATTCGAATATACATTATATAAAATAAATGTAAATATTTTCGAGGCTTAAGAACGTGTACTACCTGATACGAATCATATTCGGAGTAATCAGCGTCACTCTTCTCTTCGTCCTCGTCATGAACGGGTGTCGTTACTTGGTTCCCAGCGTTCGACGTTTCCTCGTGCAGGGTGGTCATTCGTAGACCCAATTTGCCACTCACCATATTTGGAGACGCTAAAAGCGAATATTATCCGATCAATAAATGCCATTGGGGAAAGATCAAAATCTCTCGCGTGAAAAATTGTGACATAATTGCAAGAATATCAGGGCCGATCTGGCCACCATGATGAAGATCGACGAAAGGGAATCGATAGATCCATGATTGATCACGATTATTCTCTCTCTCTCTCTTTCTCTCTCTTTCTTGGATAACAACATACATTCCACTTAATCGGGTTTATGATCACACTAAAAGGTGCCAGGTCGGTTCTGATACACATATATCGGTGATTGCAAAAATATCGAACAAAAGGATTGTGTCCATGCTGTTCCTAAAAAAACGAAAAGGGTAATTGTATATATATTCCACGTATTCGACGATTCCTTTGTCAAATTTTTAATTTACATTGATCTGACTATGGATAAAGTTCAAAGATCCCTCCGTTCTAATTATTGGAGAAGAGCAAGATGATCTCGAAATGACAAGAAAAGATTGGATAGAATTCAGTGTATGTATAGTATTTTCATTATTGTTCGGGATTTGGTTTGGGATATAATCTTCGAATAGATTCGAATAATTGGCTAAAACTATAATAAGTATCTATCAAACAATCGAAATTATTATCTTTACGCTTATATTCTGAAAATTCGAATTTCGAAAATAATAGCATTGAGATCTTGGGATCATACATCTCTACGTATCACTTATCATTGTTAAATGATATCCGAATAGATGTCATAGAAATAAAAATTTTTAAATATTTCATAACGAAACATTAACAAATATATTCTACGAAATAATTAAGAATTTCAAATCTAGAGCCCAATTTCGATTATTTTCGATCAAAATTGACAAATACTTTCAATTTGAGATTCTCAGCTAGTTGATTGATTCGGAAGTTTTTTCCTTATCTGATAAATTAATCGGGTAATTTTTGTTTGTTCGATGGATTTGGATATCCTTAAATTATTTATTATCCTGTGTGTATTTCTACGTGTCAAAATGAGTATATATATGAATAAAATTTCTTAATCGAAGTAAGTGTTCGAATGAGATACTAAAGATCCAAAAGATTCAAGCACATAATACGTGGAATATAAGGCAGCCTGAAATAAAGGTAAAACAGAAGTAGAAAAAAGGTATCGTAAGGTAAATCGTAATAAGCAATAAAACATCGAACACATATGGGAAACTATGCACTGCGGCACGATAAGGCTGCAGTTCCAATAAGGACATTAACTACGGAGAAAAAAGATATCGAACGAAAAACGGAATGGTTTTATCGATATCTATTATCATATTGTGCTACGTAATAATCGAAATAAGGTGTAAGGAAACCAAATAGTCTACTAATCACTACGAGAATGATCGAATAGACTCTTTCAAACTTGCCAGGATTTGATTAGATTTCTGGAAAAACTTAATTCTTTCTCCATCGAAATAATTTTCATATAATTTTTTTTTAGCAATTTTAATATTATTTAACTGTATGATACGAAAATTAAAAATACAAAAATTCTATTTCTATACTGTATCTATAATTGTAGCAACAAGATGTTTAATATAAAATATTGGAGAAAGATTTAAAGAGCATTAATTAAATTAATTTTTAAATTCAATAAAGAAGAATTGTATTTGCAAAATAATTTGCAATTCTTTTTTATGTTCTCTTATAAAATTTTTCAATTAGAGAAAATTACACATTAATGAAATAAAAATTGACTGATCATTATTAATTTTAATCTGAGTTATATCAACCAATCAGAGGGTATCTTTTCATGGCAAATCAGTTTGAAAGAGTTGTCAACAGCGAGTGTCACCTACACTTGGCAGAGGTGGATTGTTGCAGACGTGTCAATGAGTTGAGATTCAGGTTCAGATTCAGGAAAGTTGGTCTCGCTGAAAGGAGATAGACGTACTGATTACACCTGCAATCGTATTCTCCTCGATCATCGCTAAAAACTACATTCTGTTCTCCTCTTAATGGCGAGCCTTCTTAAACCTTTCTTTTTTTTTCTCTTTGCAGGCTTGTCACGTGTGATTGATCATGCCTGTTAGAAGACACTCAATATTATCAATCAAGCCAGATCAGAATGTATGTCTCTGTGTCAAATTCGAAGATTCAGAGAACATTCGTGTTGTACATACAGGTAATTTTAATATTCAGAGGAGAATTGTAAGAAATAGAGACATTACGTAGATATACTTTTTCTTTTTTCATATATATATCATCTATGAAACGATTCAACTCGCCATTTTAAAACAAATCCAAAATGCAAAATATAAATATATATATATATATGTGTGTTAATTGAAATTAAAATAATTCTTTAGAAATATTTTTTGTTATTTTTAAACATTTGAGATGCATCGTGGATTTGTTATAAAATATATTAACAATAATATTATATTAGTTTAAAGTCAAAATAGTGATAGTTATAGTCATAGCGTTCTCAATAAAAGTATCTTCCTTTTACTGTACAGTCGATAGCGTTAGATAGATTCTATTCTTTTATAAAGCATGCTTCACTATGTCTGAAACAATAATCTCATGCATCGCTAAATTACTTTTAATTTTTCTCTCTACACTATTCTGAAATTGTTTACTTTGTATTACTCTGATTTTGTTTGACTTTAAACTAATTTTTTTCTGTGGAGAAAGAAAATGGGATTTTTTAAATTCTTAAAATTTTTTCTTTTAAAATATATTTATTAAATTATAAAATATATTTATTAAATTATAATATAAATATATATATAAAGTTTAATCTATTTCTTTAAATACATTTCAAATTTTCAAATATCCCATTTTCTTTTTTACTCATAAAGCCATAAGCTTTTTTTTTTCTTTTTTTCTCTAAATGAAAAACAATTTAGTCTCTTTATTGATTAACTTATATTTCGATTTATTCGTATAAATATTTCTTTTGTATAAACAAAATGATCCCAAATTGTTTTTCAGTGGCGTATATATCCACCTAAATAATTATTAATCGATAAATATTTATATATATTTACACATATATGATACAGTTACCCTACGTCAGTTTTCTAAAATATCGCTTAATAGCACATTCACAGGTAGAGACAGTAAAAGTAGAACAATTTCACAAGCGATCTTAGTCATCTTTCTCTTTTTACACTTTTTTTTTTTTTTTCATTCTTTACTCTTCGACTAACTGTAATTTGAATCGTGGTAAAAAATATATATTATTTAAATACGCGTTGGTTCACTCTTTAAATTCAGTCTTACGAATTGGTAAATAAATTTTACCAATTTTCGAGAATTCGTCAAACGTAATAATTTCCCAACGTTCGACGAATAATCGAAATGAAAAAAAAAATAAATAAAAAATAAAAAATAAAAATAAATAAATATTTATATATATATGTATATAAAACAGAACTAGATAGATAATCGTTTCTATTCTAATGAAATAAGTTTTGCCAAAATAATTATATCTCATATACCCATGCTTTCGATTGTATAGTCATGATATACAGTGCTAGTGAACATGATTTCTACGTAATGGTGATCTTTGATAGAAACTGCGATAGCCGCGGGAGAAGATCGTTCTTTCATCTTGCTTTTGCAATGCGTTGACGTGACTTTCTTTTAAGCGATCGATCATGAGCAGAAAAATCATTGTGTGAACGTTGTGTGAGCCAGAAACAGAGAAGAGACAATGAACGAACAGAGATTTTGCTTGCACGTAAAAGGGCACATTCGCATGCAACAATAAAACGATGAAACTAAATATAGATAAAACAACATTGCAATTCATTGCAAAGAAACGGTATAGGCATTAACTATTTTCAAAACCTAAAGTGTTGATGGTTCGAAATAAAAAGGAATATAATAAAGCAGCGTGTTTTTTTTTTTTTTTTTAATTTTTGAATATGAGGATAAAAAGCTTAATAAAAAGATAAAGCTTTGTGATCCATCATTAATCATGTTAGAAAATTATTCTAAATCTTTAAACCTCGTTCAAGATTCAAGTTACTTTAATTGAAGATGCTTGAATTAAAATATGTTCATGATTATAAATCAATATAATTATTGAAACTTGAAGAAATATTTTAATATTAAAAAACGTTTCATTCGACAGATTTTATTAATAAGAATAAAAGTATAAAAATTTTGAGAGTAGAAAAGGAATTAAAAATATTAAGATGAAGGGATTGATACACGAATAAGAAGTTCAAATCGACAAAGAAGAGATTTAAAATTAACTTAATAAATTAAATAATTAATCAAACGTTCTACATTCTTCTTATATATATGTAATCTCTTCCAGTTCTGAAAATAGCTATAGATCGCAAAAATGAATAACCATCAATACACATAATATATACAAATATATATATATATATATATGTACATATTTAAGGCTTACTGGAAAACTAAAACAACAGACAGACTCAACCACTCACGAGACATATGTATACTAATCGTCGTTGCCTGTTAGGGCATCAATCAAATATCAATCAAGACTCCATTTTACCTGAGATCAGAATGGAGCCTTGCGTGGGCCGAAATAGTTGTAGAAGTAGTAGACGTAGTGTTATAAACAGAGGAACAGAGAGATAAGTTGCGTATATTAATATAACTTGGAATTGATCGTTCAATTTTGCTACAAAATTCGCTAATTATATAATAAGGCATTTTTAAAAAGAAATTCTTGTGACAAAAGTGGTGGAGCTTAAGTGTCGCTGCTAATAATAAACGCTAGGCAGATCTGAGAAAAAAATGGATCGTTTTTCTTTTCTTCTTTCTTTCTTTTTTTTTTTTTCTCTTCTTTTACCATGCTCAACTCTCTTTTCAATGATCGTGATCTTCGTGAATCACGTTTCGAATGAGATTTCATCGAACTAGAAAAATCGCGTTAACGAAAGAATCGTGCGTAAAAGTTGAACATAGCGTGGTGACATAACAGTATGATAGAAGCTGTAAATAGAATAAATACGAAGTTTCAATGTGTAGTGGTAATTTGCTAAGAGGGAGATCGATATTACCAAACATCTTTAAGGAGAGTGATCAAACGTTTGACGGTGTTTGTTCTAAGTGAGTGAGCGATTTCCTTCCATGGTGTCTTTTTTTTTGATTTGAAGAAGTTGAAAGAATTATCGTTTTTTTTTTTTTTTTCAAATTATTTATCTTTAACCCTTGTGTTGCCACGAAACTTTAGAAGCTTCGTTCGAAAAAATTCTATTAACTTGAAACTTGGATCTTAAAAATTTTTCGTGATACTATTTAGAAATTCCTAAGGTAATAAATTTTTGGATTTATCTCGAATTGAGTTGAAAAAACTGACAAATAATTGGAAAACTTTATAATAATTATCAATATATTAAAAGGGTTAAAAAAGAATTGCGATTCTTTGATAATTGTAATATATAAAGGACACGATGGAAAGGAATGCTAACGATGGATGACATGAATTTCAATAATAAAAAAGAACAAAAAAGGAAACGGATGTAATGATTATCTTCCATTATTCAGAAACAACATATCCAATACCAAAGGAAGACATAACAGTGGAATTTTAAAACAGTCAAAAACTAGGGCAAATCTTAAAGTGACTATCATGGCAAGGTGAGATATATATATATATATATGTATATATAATATTAAAAAACACTGCATAAGCCACATTTCATAAATGAATGAATAGACTTTTCGTCGAATATAATTCAAGAAAGCGAAAAAATCAAGGCAACCAGAAGTGATCGAAAAAACGTAAGTAAATCGGTATATATATATTTTTTCTAAGACTAAGGTCTTCAAAACACAGTGCCATTAAAATTTATCAAAGCGTTTAAATATTATCGATAATTCAATTGTGATTTAAGCAAACTAAGATGTTGCATTCATTAAATGATGAAATTCGCATAAGATTATAAATTCGTAAATTCCAATCAAAGAATAAAATAAAATAAAGAAAAAAAAAAAAAAGAAAAAAATAGAAAAAAGAAAAACAAAGAAAAGAAAAACGTTAAAAATAAAATTCGATTAAATTTTATGTAAGTAGCAATCCATTTAGCATAAATAATTCTGCGTTCAGTGTAGCAAGCTCTGTATCAAAGAGCAGCGTAATAACGAAACAAAATAAGATTTGATTTGCTAAATTTGCTACGCCTTCATCAACATCATGGCAAAAACGCTTGCGGAGCAAAAGAACTCTCTTGCAAGAAATTTTGGAATTACCTTTTTGTTGGCGTGCTTATGGTAGTACCGTTGGATATTGTTAACAGTTATTATGAACAATAGTAACGTGTTAATTCAATCGTTGATTAATTACGATTAAGATATTAAAAGTGATATGCGATATCAGTTGTATTATAATAAAATGGATTACTACAGAATGAACGGTGAACTAATGAATGAGAAGATGAATTGTATGAGTGAATATATTTTGTGTGAACAATAAGAAAAGAATCCTTTAGTTTATTATTATCTTATTAACCGAGTTATCAATTATTATTTCCTTTCTTACGCGTACATCTTCTATGATTTCATAAATTATATTATTCAAAATTTAATTATTTATTCAATAAATTCAAGGAACAAATAATTGTATACATTGATATATTTCCAGTTGCTATTTTATATAGGATGTGCAATTAAGAAATCATAGAACGTTTGTGATTTTTATTATTATTGAAAATGTTTCACTGGAAAAATATAATAAGTGTGATGCGAACATTTGCTTACCGATTCCGAATGGTTTAGAAACTGGCGCAGAAACGAAGTTCTCATCGTTTCTGGTGTGACCCGTGGATGCACGACGCGAATGAAGTATTCCATTCAACTCGGTGTTGAGATCAGTCACGCTTTCAGAACGTGTCACGTTTAGAGAGTCCATCGAGGTGTCGGATCTCATGATCTGTAAATAGCAGGTATATCGTGTTACTCGCTATTATATCTTAAAACAGATATTATATGACGTAACCATAGTTTGTCTAGAATTATTTGAACTGAGAGTAATAGTACAAATTGTCCATCTTGTCAATTTTAATCCTTCTTTTTTATCTTCCAAATCATCAATGAGATTTATTTTACAATATTAAAATGTGCGATCAAATGATTCTAGACAAGCTAGAAAAGATGGCAAGAACCCAAAGAGCATTAAATGCAAATAAAAATTTCTAAGATTCTACTGATTCTATTGAAATGAAGGAAAGAAATATTTGAATTTGAAGGGAGAAAATACCAAAATATAAAAAAATGGAAAAGAAGAAAACAAATTAAACGAAAAGCATACAGTGCGTCCGAGACGGCGTAGAGGCAGTAGTACCTGCGAGAAGTTGGGTACGCTTGCTGTCTTGCGCATAAGTGGTTGACCTTGTGCTTGCAGTAATTCTTTTACCGCGACACTTTGTCGTAACCGATCTAAAGTTAAGATACTTTCCACCGCAGAAACACCGCGTGTATATTTTTCTAAGCAAACATCAGACATGTGAGTTTCAATTATGCTTTTGTCCAAGTTGATCGATCTTCAATTTATAAAATATTCTGCGAAATAATTGTTAAATTTACCAATGTAAGTTTCACCGTCGCATAGGCTGTTGTCTTCGCCACTCGCGGCTATCTGTGCCAAACTCTCGCGATCCTCCAGTTCTTCGCTAGCCTTTGGTATATTAGACACGACCTCGTATGTGACTCCAGTTTGGGTCAAACAATCTGTACGGACGATCCTTTTGAAAATTCTGTCTGTGATACTTTGTCGTTTGTAGATGTTCAAGGCCAATCTTTTGCGCAGTACGAGGTCCATTGGCGCTGGATGAGAGAGTCGTATCGTTGTTTTCAAAATTAAAAATACCCGTTCGTTGGCTGAAATACGAGAAAATTGGAAAAATATCATATTATTGTTACAGTTTGAAATATTGTAATTTTCAATATTTTTAACTATTGAATTACAACTTTACCGTCTGTGACTTTGTTCAGATGTTTGTTATCGTGTATACTGGAGTCCCAAGCAGCGATGGCGCACACATCCTTCTCTATGTGACGAATTATAGGCAAATTGTAAAACTTATTGCCATGTTCTTTGGGTAATATAGAATTAACCCCAGTGACGGAAACTTCTTCCCCTGACTGATGCGTTGAGAGATCGTCGGCTGTAAGTATTTAGTCGTAGAGAAATCATGAAATATTATATTACTGGGTATATGAATAAGGTAAAATTGCACACACCGTTGAGATCAAGAAACAGAACAGGAATGTGTGGTTCCATGCCTGCAGGAGGATTCCAATCAGCAGGGGCACCAGGGATTCCTGATCCTGCTGCAGGAACTAACACTGCGTTTCTTTCTTCCGTTAAACTGACCCATTGATCTACTAGACTTTGTTCTCGTTCTATATCTTGTTCAGTTTTATCTATATAATAGAAATCATACTTAATTGATACTCAATTAGATTTATCATGGTTTGAATTAATATTTCAAGTTTCTATCATATAGGCATACCCTGTTTATTAATAAGTTTTTGTATCTGTTGATCCAAGTATTGTCTCCTTCTCATTAAGGCTTCGCTCCATTTTTCTCTTAATATGCTCAAGTCTTCATCCTGATAACTGTCCAATGGAATTTGAAGACGATTCCTTACAGACACGCTACCAACTGCTATATTTAATATCGATTGGCAAATAATGGGTAATGTTCCTGAATTTTGTACTGGTTTTACACGAACTTGTATTCGTCGTTGCTGCCCCTGACGTAATTGATAAATACCCCCTACAAACAAATATAAATTATATTAATTTCAATGTATTAAATTGTATCAAGTTTAAACGTAGAGAAGAACATGCATACCTGTCCACGTATCTTGCTTTACAACTACGTCCACTGGCGAATATTCTCCTTGCTCGTTCAACTCTTGAATTTCAACCCATAATTCGATCTTCCTTGTTAATTCCGACCATCGATCAGCCAAAGATCTAGCTTTGGCAAGTTGTTGCTCGACTTCCCAGCCTGGTTTGCTTCGGGAAAATCCGGCACTTCGGTGTCCCCAAACTTCTATGCTTAAGGCCCCTTCTGCAAATGAAAAAAAAAAAATATATATTTTTTTATACACTTCAACTTTTTCCATTCATAACATCAGATCATTCCATGAATTAAATTTTTGAAGAACTGGATTAAAAAAAGATTTACATTAGATAGATTTTATGAACTAAGAATAGAAAGCACACTGGATAACTTATATTAAATTACCTAATTTCAAATGCTCTGATACTCGAAGCTCTCTCACATATGATAAATATTATTGTATAATCTGTTAATAAATTTTAATTTTGCAATAAATTTTCGCGATAACTCACCTGCACAGTGTTCGATAAACTCCTCCGTAATAGGCACGGTAAAATCATTCGTGTGATCGAACTTGAACACCAGAGAGTCTCTTTGCCCTATCTGGCAATTCGAGTTCAATTGTTCCGAGTTGTCCACAGCTGGGACCACTGTGGGATCCGGATAACCGCAGAACATGTACTGACAAAATACAAAATGGCTCAGGGACAGTGGCAAGCCGGTTGCTTGCTTGATAGTCACGCGGCACGTGATGTGACTGGAGCCGGAATAGTCCTCAGGCTCTGACGAGGTCGAGTCAGCCGACGATTCCGACGCAGCCTCGCAGATACGATCCTGAGGGAAGTGACCAGATATGCGACTAATCTCGACCTGCAGTCGTCCAGCGACTTCTCCTTGTTGGCTGATAATTGGCGTGTGATAATCTAATCGAACGTCGTGAAACAAAACCTCTAAGAAAATATTCGCTACTCCAATGAGATTGTGATTCTCCTGGGATTCGTAGAAAGGATCTTGAGTTTTTCCGGGCACTTCATCCTGTTTGAATTTAGAAAAGTTTTTCAAATTAATTGATTTCAAGTTCAGTTCGCAAATTAGAAAGTTTTAATTTTTTTTTTTTTATAAAAGTTAACTTAAAGAGGGGTTTTTGCTGTTTAAGAACTTTTTGAATTCGTTAGAGTTGTACCTTAATGGCAGGCAATCGTTGACAATTGTTGGGATCCTTTCTGTCTTCGTACATATCCCGCATGTCGACTAATTTGTTTTCTAACTTCTCCATGGACCACACCTGGCTACCCATATTTGTCCTTTTCACTAGAATCGCAGGCTCGCTAACGAATGCGCCCCGCTGAAAAAATACACTCTACATGTCGAAGAGTGTGAAAGCAGAATAAAATAAAGCAAAACGAACACAAACATAAATAACAAGATAATGGAAATCAATAAAATAAAAAAAGCACGGTGTAAAATCAAACGTGTCAATCATAAATTAAGAGAACAAAGATAAATGTATAATGTAAAGTATATTCAAAATACAAAATGAAATCAATATTAATTAAAAATTAAATAAAATTAAGAAATTTATAAAAGAGTTCGTTCTTTCGATTCTTTAAAATATTGTCTTCAATAAAAAAAAAATAATATTAATTTAGTTACATAATACATCAGTGTCTATAAATAAAATTTGCTGTCTTCTAAAAGAATAGGAAAGATAATACATATTTATAGGAAAGATAATACACATTTATACATCTTTAATGATCAATTTAGAATAAATTAATAAAGTAAACTTATTATTTATGTCAACAAGTATTACCTTTCTGTTTGGACTTAAATTGTTGGGCGGAATTTGTAGAGTGACACTAAACTTCGTTTGTTTCCCCATCTCTTCTGCCAAGAAGTTAGCTTCCTGTACCAAAGCGTTCGCCTTCAAAATGTCGGCTTTCAATTGGCCTAAACTTCTCTTAAACATCTCGTCCCTTTCTTGAGCCCACTTCTCCACCCGCATTTGCGTAGTTGGTGTGCAAGCAGGAAGTTTACCACTTTGACTGCCCCTTAGGGGGTCGTATGGTACGTAAGGAGAATAAGGTGTCGATGGAGACAAAATGTTGCGAAGCTGCTGGAACTGACGTTCGTATTCTTGTCTCTGTTTCTCTAACGCGACCTAAAGATAGAAAGAAATCGTCACGTTTAACTTGATAAAACTTGATAAACAAGATACCTAAGATTTATATGTATCTGAATTTTTGGTAACTTGTGATAAAAAGAATTAAGACTTATCAGTTAGAATTCTTAGAAATTCAATCTTCTTATCATTAAGAGCATAAAGATTTGTAGCAAATATAGAAGTTTCTGAAAAATAATAAAGACATAATATTTATGATAAAATTGTTGCCACTTATCAATCAAGTAATAACATCAAATAATGCATTTTAATATTATTTTATAATATTCAATTCTATAATCATTTCTTGCTGGTCTTTACATTGACCATGTATAAATTCTTAAAATAATAATTTCACAATCAATTTCCTATCTTTAATATCAACAATATCTCTTCATCAAAGTTTATAGAACCAATCTCTCTTCTCTTTAACATCAGCAATATCTCTATAAATCCTCATCAAACATCATTTATCCCCAAGCATACCTGTTTATCTTCCTCATGCTGCTTCTCGAGTCTGGCGATGGCTCTTTGTATAGGGTCGTTCGACAGCTCGTTAAGCATAAGTTCTTCCCGTGCAAAGGTGTAATCGATATTCTGTGCCGGCGTCTGAGGTTCACTGTTGATCGCTGGAAGCAGAAATAGTCACATGCATACACGAATATCACGCATCGATCTCAAAGAATTCAATCAACGATATCCATTAAGCGTTACCTGTTGCGCTTCTGGGACAATTCACCCGGAAGAAATGATGATTTCCCCAGACGATCCTGTCGCCGTGCAACAACGGTGTTTTCTCAACTACCTGAGTGCCGTTCACGAAACACCTAGCACCATTTAATGGCGTCATATAGAGGCCAGTCTCCTCTATCGTGATAACACAATGCTCAGGCAGGATACCAAGTCCGTGCAATTGGATATCTTGCTCTGTCTTGGCCGAACGTCCCCCAACCAGAGTCCTTTCCTAATTTTTAACAAACATAAATGTAATCAGAAATATCTATTTATCTATTTTTATAACTTTACTCCATTTGTACATCAAAGTGGAATGATGAAATGGGATTCTTCATTCATTTAAAATTGATCTTTAATTAAAAAATATTCATCTTATTTTTGTGCACAAAGAATAAAATGAAAGAAACTAGTATATGGGAACATGGTAGATGAATGAACAAAAATTATATTTGATTCATTTTTTTTCTAGTATATTTCTACTTGTCAGAGATAATAATTAAAAATATAAGATAGAATAAGGTAGAATAATTATTAACAATATATTTTTAATAGTTATTCTAAGAATTATATAAAGGATTCAATAGAAAAATGAGAAGTTTTAAACAAATACAGTAATGTGTTTTAAAATTTGAAAGGAAGTCTGGTTTTATTCATAGTTTTTTCAAATTAAAAATTCTGTCATTTGTGTTCTAAGGCATTTTTAGATACCTTTAGATAATAAACTAGCAGCTCATTTAAGCTTGGATCGTCATTCAGATTAACGAGGTAATATTTGTTCTTTTCCACTTGGATACCAGAGGCTTGGACGCTGATTCCCATTTTCTCTAAGGCTTGTTGCCTCTCGTGTTGCAGCCTCTCCGTTTTCACCAGCTTCTCTTCCCATGTTTGTGACATTTCTTTCATTAATCGTTCCGATTCCGACAGCTTCTCCGTTATATCTGTGCGTTGCTGGCCCAATATCGATCCCTGTCCCTTTGTAACAGAGAGATAAAATTGGAAGAGGTTTAATAAAGTCAAAGAATAATTTTTTTAAAAAGAAAAATTTCTAGTCGGTATTAAAAATTTACTTCAATAACGATTAAAATATCTAAATATAAAATGGATTCAAAATATTATGAAGAATTAAAATTAAACTTTAATAATGTTACACTCATAACTTTATCTAATATCAATTAAATATTCATTCAAAATATTATTCTGTTTTTTCAATCATTTTTTTTTTAAATATTAAATTAAATTAGAAACAACACGATCATCTAAATATTTAGATCTTAAACTTATAAAAGAATTTTTCCAAGACTTTAGTGGCTCTAATGGTTCATATTTGTTCAGCTCGTCTAACATAAAATTAATATATAAGTGTTAACATGTCTTAATCAATTTACAGTTGCATGTAACAGCATCTCTTTCAGTGCTTCCACTTCTTGCCTCAATTCTCGAATGATTCTTGCATTTGGATCCTCGTTGACCACCGCATGATTAACAATTCTCTTAGCTCTGTCCGCGTATCGTAGAGTGGAAAGCGTTTCCTCGTAATTATCCGCAGCTGGAGATATAGTGGCCACCATTACGGTTTTACTATTCCCACCAAGATTATCCTAATGATAAAATACGAAATGTGGTTGTAAACGAAGAAATTACATTTAAAATTAATTAAATCTTTCTTAAATGTAAAAATAATGGAAAAAGTTTTATTTCATTATTTATGAATACATATAATGCAATTTTATAATTGTACAGTTTTGTAAATTTGTATATTATCGATTATATAACATTAATATATAATAATTATCAAAAAAATATTTTCATATTAAGTGATTCTATTAGCAATTTCATGTTAATACGCTCTTCAGCTGTACAAGTACGAATGTAATGTCTTTTTTATTGTTATTACTTAACAATTAAGAAATTCATTATTTAATACATCGTAAGTATTAAACAATACCTTCAGCAGCCACGTTAAAACAGAATCTCTATACGGCACGAATTTGTCTTTATTTTTATTACTTCCGGAATTCTGATCCGCCAGCTTTGAAATGACTAGACCCAACGTCGTTAGGGATCTGTAAATATTTATTTCTCTTATATCTCATAATCCATCATTTCTTTCTACATTCTGTGTGTTTATGCAATCGAACTCAAATCATTGTAAACACTTCTCACGAAAAAAAACAAAAAAATACAAACATTCGATTAATTTGATCTACAAATAAATATATATATATTTTCAATATTCTTAAATATATATATATATATTTTCAATATTCTTAATTACATCGAATATTTTTAAATATTACTTTTTCATGTATTTATTCAATTCTCAATGAACATTATTATCTTCTCTAAAAAAGCAAGATAGGAAAATTGATATTCGATCAATTCACAATCAAAGCTCAATGATTTCACGTCAAATTTCCTCTTCCAATATAATGATAATAAACTATTCTCATTACTTGTTTATATTGCTTCCTTCTTTAAGCCTATCGCCCACCGCCCCAGTTTTCACAGCCCTTTCGCTCCCCGCCAAGTCCACCAAGCTCATCCTCGACACTTTTTCACCGCTGACACCGCTCTTCGAATCCGTCAACGTCTGCGTCAGAATGACGGAGAACACTGCGTGCGAACGCGAGCTCTCAGAGTTCATATTCGTCGCCGCAACTGTCCTCGACTTGTTGCCCTCCGCCATCAGATTGTCGATGTCCTGCAAAATCGTTCGCTCGCTTAGCTCTCTCGTCGATTTCTCTCGTTATCGATAACGATTTTCTCTCCAACGCGAGAAATCCTGGATAGATCCAGGTTCGGTTTAACCGACTGGTGAAAGGTAATTTCTGGACTCGAGTTACCTGGAACAGTTACCTGGAGGATTTCGTTCGTTGTGGAAGTGTTGGGAAATTAGGGTAATTGGGTTGGGAAATTCAGCTGATGGAATGTATGGTTTAATGATGGTAACAGGTTGGTCGGGGATGTTGTGTAAGTGGTTCCTGAGATTTTCGCTAGTTGGAAAATTCAATTGAGATTGGGCAGTCACGTTTGTTTGATCTTGCAATCTTTTGGGAAAAGATTTTTCTTTCAGTGGTGAGCACAGTGTTATAATAGTTAATAAAAATGTAATAAGGAAAAAATTGGTTGAGCATGATTTTTAAAATGGGATGTATTGTATTAAGCCTTTGTGATTCTACGTTAAATAATTGGATTTGGAATTTTATTCCAATCTTTTTTTTTTAATTTTTAATATATATGAAATATACTTCTTTTATAATTTAATTCACGAGAAATATTACAATATTGTAAATGTTTCTTTTGATTTTCAATAGATTGTAAAATTATAGAGTTTATCAAGGATCTTTCAATTAACAATGTTAGAAAATTTAAATTATTTATGATAAAAGTAGATTTAAATTGTTCTTTTAGTTTTTTAGTTCATTTTTGTTTTACAAAATTTCACAAACTTTTAACTTTCTTACTCAATTTCAATAGATAATAAGGTATTCCATATTCACGATAAAAAAATTGTATTAAAAGAATAATGGAGCCGAAAAATGTGATATGATACTATCCTAGTTCACAGTCGATGAGGCAAATTGAAACTTATCACGCGTTACTGGTATGCACGAAACGTGTTTGTTGCATAAAAGAAGTAACCACTACCTTCGTTACATATAAAACGACCTGATTTTACTTTCTTAAAGGATCATATATCATTTTATATATATATATATATCTTTATTCGTTTAATGCACATTGCTCGAACGATCGGTAAAAGTCATTCGATCGATCCTAATCGTGATAGTTCAATCAACTCGATCAAGTTGGATAACGAAAGGATAATTGTCATGTTATTCGAATATATTTTTCATAGATCATTACAGGGAAAGATTTCAATATTTAGTTGAAATGAATTAGATTTTTTATTTTGGATAAATTTTGAATAAATTTTAACATCATATAATCAAATATATATTATTGATCAACAGGAATTAACATTAATAAAATTCAAGTATTTAAATTTTAAAATAATTAGATTCCATTATCAGTAAGGAATTCAATAGAAAATAGGTACATATCACATTTTTATAATTTTTGAATTTTTGAATAAAGACAATCAATTTATAAAATATTAAAAGAAGGATAAATTTAAGTTTTTCTCTCCGATTTAAAATTTGTTTAATCTAATTTCAAAGTATTATTAATCAGTACATATTAGTATTTGCATAATTGAATGAATAAATAGAATAAATTTCAATAAATAATATATGTAATTTAATATGTAAAATATCACAGTGGCTATTAGTAATTTGCATTTACACTTGTCAGATATACTATGACATCATCAATGGGATCAATGGTGATGTTAAAATTAACTGAAATATTGCGATTAAATAAATGATTTCAAAATAAAACTTTGTCGGAAAGCAATATTTATTATGTAAATCAAGCGACACCTTAATTGCAATACTTACATCATATTTCAATTAAATATTATAGATTTTTTTAACATTTTATTATTTTTATTATTTTTGCATATTATTTTCATTCGTGTGTTTATGGGGAAAATAAAGAATAAACATATATCAAGTTATTTAAATTACTGGCTATTGACATTTTCACATTTTCAATCATAGTAAAATTGATATCTATGATTATAGTTCTATATAGAGATACATATAATAAATTATTTAATGATTTATAAACTAGGTAAAAATTTTTTTTTTTAATTTAAAATAAAATTGCATTAACTCTTATAATTAATATTATTGGATTATATAGATTGATGATCTACATAATAATTTATATTAATTTTTCGAATGGAAAAATGCAATTTTAATTTAATGACAACTGTCATGGCCACTTATAGTTCAACGAAGATTTGAATCAAAGGTTAATGCGATTCTTTTAATTGGCATCAGAGTATCAATTAAATTACGAACACCAGACAAAATATAATTAAAGTATAATACATGAACTTTCTGTATGGTTTCTAATTAAGAAAGACCTCAATTCGAGCATCGCGCTTTTGTAGTTTTCATCCATGGAACAAAGCAAGTAAATATTTGGATTAAAATCAAGTGTGGAGTATGTAAACATACGATAATGAAATTATTATTGTAGGTTATAGCGAGTTTCTGATTTTGTCTCGTTCTGATCGTTCGTATCGTCATATTAATTCTATTTTATATTGCGAATATTTTAAAATTGATATTATTACTAAAAAGAAATAAAAGCAAAAATTAAATAAAGGAACATTTTATAAAAGCTTAAGATTAATAATACAAAAAAATATCGGTTTTAATGAAACTGTATAAATTTATAACGACACGGAAAAAAGAAAATAAAAAGAAATAAAATAATAAATTATGTGATAAATTTCTAAATATCTAAAAATTAAAGAGTTGTTAGTCATTTAATTCCTGTAGTCATAAACAATTTCTAGTTTTGTAGTTTAATTGCAGAAAATGGTATATTATTAGAGAAATTAAATTGACGAATTACTGCAATGACAGATATTGATCATAACAGTTTCATTTTGGAGTTGTGCCAGTTGCTAGACAAAACAACCGATAAATAAAACCGATGTGATTTGTTGTTTTGCGTAAAAACTAGATAAGATATGTTAGTTATTATTCATTGATAAATGATAATTGAAAAGAATTTTCACAAATTGATTGTGATTAAATAAGATATATCGTTGAAAATGTAAAGATAATCATATAACTAAATAATTATCTAATTAATTAAATTCTAATTTTCTACATGACAAAATAATAAATTTCTATATGATTTTTCATAATTTAAAAATTAAATAACTAGAATTTAAATAGATAATAATAATTTAACGTGTAATAATTGGATAACATATTATAATTATTATTTGACTGATAAGATAATTTATATTTATATTTATTCAAAGATATTCGTTTAATTTAATGATTCAACAGTTTATTCTATCAACGATTCTAAGCGAATCTGAATAGCTCAATGATCCATATAATAATTCCAGGATCTATCCTATTTAATGATTCTAGGATTCAATAGCTTCATGCTATAATATTATTCTAACTAACGCAGGATTCAATATGGTGATTCAATAGCTTAAATGAATTCTGGAAACCAATATCTGGAAATGGCTCGATTCCAGAATTTGATATCTATTTTCATTTTCTTTTGCAAAAAAATATTCCAAGATAAAATTGTAATCAAAACACACGAAAAAAATTCCAAAACTTTGAGTCGAGTAAATTTTACACCAAATAAAAATTATCAGACAGCTGTAAAAATATTACAAAGATGTTTATCAAAAATACTTAAAAAAAAAAAAAAAAAGATATATATAACTTAACAAAATATGTATTTTCTGTATTCTTAAGTATATATTCTCCTCATGAATGATGGAGGATCTTACCTGAAACGACGTGACAGCAAGCTGACTAAGCCCATCCACATACGGGCCTAGAACATTGTGTTCCCTGACTTTGAGCGACTGTTTGTTCGGCTTTGGATCCAGCAGATCGTGCACCTTCTCGTTGTAGATCTCCATATACGAAACTTCAACCTTGTAGGTCAATTCCGAACTCTGCTGCTTCGCGATCATGTCGAAGAGGTTGTCGCACAGCCGAGGTATTATGCCCTTGTTGTCACCGCTTCCCATCATCGTGTATGATTTCCCGGACCCTTTTCAAAAATTCGTATTTTTTGAACACATATTTATATGAATAATTTCAGAAAAGGAAAAAATTGCTTCTTTTTAGTGAAATTTTTCGCCAATGTTTTTTTCTTCTTATAACAAGCAAACGTAGAATTATTAAAATTGATTATTAAATTAGATTAAGTGGATTTGTTTGAAGTTAGAGTTGTTAGTTTGATAAAATGATTATATCCTGATGAGATAAGAGTTTCCCTTTTTTTTTTTTGGAAGAATTTATGGTTTGTATTCTGGAAATATTTTCGTCGAGGGACGAATTATGCAAATTATGTAATTAAAAGAAGGTAGAGGGTAGATCTTATCAAGATTGAGAAAAGATAGGGTAAACGTTATATAAGAGTTGTTATTTTTTTTTTTTTTTGAATTTATAAAATGAAATTAAGATAAATATTTTATTAGTTCTTTGATTAATTATATTTGAAGACTTCCTAATTTTCAGATAATCAATCATCTTCCATAATAAACTGTCATCTAATGGATCTTCATAATTCTTAAAATTTATCAATATTTTCGAAAAATATTATTAAAAAACAAAAATATCACACGTTTCAAACATTCATTCTTCAAATCTTTGATAATCGATCATCTTGGATACATTCATAATTTCTAAAAAAAAAACAATTCAATTTTTCAAAATTTTTACTCTTATATTTAAAATTCTATATCGAAAATGTAACCTCATTTCATTGAAGCTTGCCACTTTCAAAGAAACCTTTGACAGCTCAACAATCAACAGCAAAAAAAAAAGAAAAGAAAAAGAACAAAATCATTCTCTCAAATGAACTTAACCCCCAATTGACACCATTGTTTTTACAAGTCTTAACAGGTTTAACTTTGTATTCTTATTTTACAAATTCTCATAAGACATTTTATCGTTATATCGTTCTAAGCGTTTGAGAGGATGACTAAAAAGGGGAGAGAGGTTAAATCTTAAATCCAATTGATCGATAAGCGAGTAGTAGCTAAGTGCAAGAAGACTTGAGAGAGAGTCTTTAGAAGTGCATAATCTTATTCTTTCCTTCTTTCTCGTTCTTGCCAATGGTCAAACAAAGATGGAAAGGGATCGAATCGCTATGCCAGAAGTCAATGTCTTTCGTCTAAGATCAATCGTGCACCATCGTTTTATCGGTGTTCATCCTTTTGTAATTGCGTTATTCTCCACGCAAAAGCGGATGGTGATTATGTTTCGGGGAATATCTACCCTTCAGTAGGAATAAAGGGAGCAGCATACACAGATGTTGAAATCTGGAATGTGAGGATTCTTTGATGGTTACTCATTTAGAGATTAGAATCTTTTGTTTCTCTTATTTTTGGTATCTTTTTTCTTATCTTTTTTTAATTTCTTTTCATTGCTTGCTTTTTTTTAAATTTTAGAGTGTGTTTTTAGGTATAATTATAAATTAAAAATATTCAGCAATTGTTAAATATTAACAAAGAATTATTCTATTTCTTTTTTCTACTTTAGAGAATTTAGTAATTAGAAAGATGGCGTCTAATTTTGACATAAGTGAGTATCATAAATTATATTATATATTATATATTATATATATTGTATATAATATTTTAATAATGTCTAATAATAATTTATTTAAAATTTCTATTAGAATTATTTTTTTTAAATTAGCAATGTTATTTATAATCAATCCTTAATTTTTATGTACGTATTAAGGTTTTCAAGTTTCAATTAACCAAGATTATCAAATAGCAGAGTTCATGGCATTGCACGAATTCGTTGGCTTCCGTTATTATTTTCCTCCATTTTTTAATTGGTCCTATTATTTCTTTAACCCTTAACTCTCGTTCCAAAACGGCTAGCTTTAATTCTCCGTACACTTTTCATTCATATTCAAATATAGGGTAAAAAGCGCCTCTTTTCATTTCTCGAAAAAAAAAAAAAANAAAAAAAAAAAAAGAAAGAGGAAGAAAAAATTGAACAAGTCAGGATATATTACGATTCATGAGAAACGAATAAATTTATTTCATTCCTCTGCTTAAATGATATTAAAGGTAGCATATTATTTGATTATTCAGTCTGAAATGAGGATCTAAAATGAAATTTTATTTTTTATTAGCTTTAATATTCCTTTCTTTTTCTCTTCGATCAGAATTTTTTCAACGTTTTAATTAGGATTTATTGTTTAAATAAAAATTGTAATTAAGGTTTATTAAAATGTTTATAATAAATATAGAAATATGCTTTCAATAATGAAATTAAAACAAAAATTAAATTTTTTCAGTTTTCAATTCAGCAGTGCATGTAATCATCGTGAATTAATTTAATATATTTTAACATATATTTAATTTTTAAATTTGCACGAAGAATTTAATTAAAATTCGAAGAATTTAATTCGATAATATAAAATATATAAAAAAAAACATATCAGATCGATATATTAAAATTACATTCGGTACATATAAATGAACTTTAATAATAATCCCATTCCTGCCGATCAATGAATATCTTATCGGAATAAAGGATTTAAAAACTACAAATCGAAGCGACAAATCTGTAATCCGAAACGGTTATACAATGTTAATGAAATTAGAATCTGATCAAAGTAGGTGGAAATGTTCCACGTGAAAGAAGCTTTAATCAGCTGCGAATTACGTTGGGTGTGGCTATATGGAAGACCGTGAAATCAAGGTCGAAATGTTACACGAATATAGATTATTGCGCGATCTCTAGCTGGAGAATTTAAATTTCTTTTGATAAATTTTATTTAAATTTTATTCGAAATATAGATATCAAATAGGTAGATATCTGAATAGTACAGATATTAACATATTAATGTTTAAATTGGTCTCGTTATCAATTATCACGTTGATAGATGATACTGTGTAAAAAAGAAAGTAATAAATTATTAAATTTAATTATAAATTTCCAACTTATTCCTCGCAATCTTTAAAAGAATCATACTTATTTTTATTTATCATAATTTTAATAATTTAACATTTTAATTTTTATAAGGAAAATTTTCAACATTTATTTATTTCAATATAAGTATAATAAAGTCTAATTGAAAATAAATGGAAGTAACTTATGATCTATCATAATAAACGGTGAAAAAAATATTAAAAATTTATCATTATTAATAATATGATGATACATATTAAATATTTCATATTCACGATATTTTTAATATCTCTTTTTAATTGAACTTTTTATTTAATTTATCTCTAAAAATAAAATATTAAATGTATTTTAGCTTTTTAAAAATATGTTTATATTTAAAGAATTGCAGGTTATTTATTACGTAATAAAATAGAGTTTCGCTATTTTACTTTTAAGCAAGATTTGAGATAAGTTATATAATTTAAAAATATTTCATTTTAATTTGTATTCGATATTTTATGCAATAAATATAATGGTCTTCTTTATCTCTTATCTCGTAGAAGACAGAAAACAGAAATTAAAACAATATTATTTACAAATTAAATAATTTAATTTTATAAATTATTTAGGACTCAATGATATAAATTTTCAAAATTAAATAATTTCGAGAATAAATAAATTCGTCATTGTAAATCATTAACTAAACATTCAAATATCTTCCATTAAATTTACATTAGATAGGTGCTCCATTAGAGAAGATTACGAAGTAAAGAGTTAGATTTATCCATTTTAAATTTAATTTTAATTTTCCGATAATTTTCGACAAATTGCAAATGTCATGGCATTAAAGTAGACATAGTATTAAATAAATTGATGGAGTAAATGGATCATATATTTGTAGAATAATAAAATCTTAAGAAAGAAAAGCAACAAGGATTGGAACAAGGATTGGAGGGTGTTTCATATACGATAACATCGTATCGCAATAAAAAGTTTAGTACATTTTAAACCGTTTTTACAGCCGTTTAAAATTTCTCCTCGATGTCATATTAACGAAACTTTTAATTTTCGTAAAAAGAGTGCAATTAAACATATTGTATTTTGCGAAGAATTGGAAAATTCTTAAATTAATTAAAATTAAATTAAATTAAAAAGAATTTCAGAAAATTAGATAATAAACTATTAGATATTAATAAAGAATTATTCTATTTCTTTTTTCTACTTTAGAGAATTTAGTGATTAGAAAGATGGCGTCTAATTTTATATATATATAAAATATATAATAATATATTATATATATTATTATATATTTTATATAATATATATTATATAAAAATATTATACATATATTGTTTAGATAAAATTTCGAATATATGGAAAAATTCTATTATGAAAATAGAGAAACGTAAATTTTCACGTAGTTCCGGAATGTAAGCTTAAGAATGACAAATTCTTACCACCATTTCAAAAATAATATTTTAGAACAACACATTTTTATGACGTGTAAAATAATCCCTATAAATAATATCCCATACGATTATGCAAGCATGATGATTCATTATGACTCTCCAAATGAATTCAAAAGATATTATTATCTATCGTTTCCTTGTGATTCTTTTTATACTTTTAGTGTAAAAATTGGCGATATTATGATGATTTGATCGTCTTACCGGTCTGGCCATAGGCGAAAATGCAGGCGTTGTAGCCTTGGAACGCATTGTCCAAAATATCGCGGCCCAGGGCGTCGAACACTACATCTTGATTCGCAAAATTTTCCGCGGCCGGGTCCAGGGAATAGAAACAGTGATCGAACGCGAACGTTTTTGGTTTGCTCCTGTAACAATATCAAAAAAAAACCATATTTTTTATCACGTTTCATCTTAAACTGTTGAATATAAAATAATTAAAATAAAATATTTTTAGATCAGTAATATTCGAAACTGTTTATTTATCATGGTGATAATTTTAATTTCTATAATATTTTTTTTATAAATCTCAAATTAAAATTATGATTTTTCTCCTTCCAATCAGTAGATAATATTTAAAATTAATTATTTCTTCGTTATAGCGATCTTTTGATCGATATTTTCCATAATAACTTTTATCGTACTGAAATTTTTATATATCAATTTTTTAATATCAAATTAAATTGATTATACATTTTTACTTTCATACATTCCTAATATTATTATATATATTTATTCGTAAATTTAATACAACAAAAGAAGCTTTCCGGATTAAATGTGATATTATTCCAATAATTACAAATTTTTCACGGATTTAAGATCTTCTGGGATTCGACTTCGGAGGAAAAAAAAAAAAAAACTATCTGCGTGCCGAGAACTGATTTGTACCCTTTCGATGCCAGAAACGTTTCTGGTATTAAATCCAAACATTTTCCTCGGGGAATGAAAGTGTACGTGAGACGACAGTAAAATAGCATCGAAGTAGAAATTAATCGTGATCGTATATTCCCGAAGATATTTGAATAATTAAGGTTAATGGAAAATCATTCTATTCATTTAAAATTAAGAGTTTAAAAATTGAGATAATATCAATGATAAGCGACAATATATAATTTTAATTACAGAATAATTCAAACGAATATAAAATATTTTAATGATAAGTTTTAAATTATTTTTTTTTTCCCGAGTTTAAATAGTTTTCATTTGTAATGTAACACGATTATCTTTATAGTACACACAATTCCTATTATATAAAGAGACTTCTTATTCAATTAGCACGTGCTTATCAAACAATTACGTAATCAATGCCGTAGTAAAGAATGTAATAAAGAAAATTACGTCATCCTCCTAATCTATCGATGCATTTTTTTTTTATTTTAAATATGCATAACAATTTCGCGAATAAACATATTAGACGTGATGACTTAGAGTGAACTTTCCTCTATTCGAACAAAAATCCAATTTCAACGATGAATGAACTACAATTTTAGAAAATACATTTCTTTTTATAATTTCAAATTCCAAACTCCGCGCGATTAAACTAGATCGCTGCTAACAATTTCTGATATTTCTTACCCCCGTTACGGGACAGAATATCGTCCAACCATCGCCACTTCAAGGATTACAATTAATCCCAGACGAACACGCCTAACGAAGGAAATTACATCGCATCTCGGCCCAACAGAGAGTTGGCCTCTCCACCTTGAGCGAGAATTAGTGGAGAAAAGGCATTTTCCAGGGAAGCACGAGGACTCGTTCCATTGGAAATGAAAACGATTTCCTCTTGTCCTGGATATATCAGAGGCACGACCCTTGCTCCAACGTGAAAAGCCTCGGTTGAAAACCGAGCGGCGCGTTCCACGCATCGGCCCGTACATATCGATTTCCCGTCGCATTTTCTCCACGAGTAATCAGTTTCCATCGGTTTTCCATCCCAGGAAAAACTGGAACACTTGGGCTTCGGGGGGCTTGGGGGGGGAAGTGCAACGTATCGTTACCCAGACTCATGACTTTGGGATGAAATCGTTCATCGAGAAAGTTGCGAGGAGATCCACCCACTTGCGAGAAGTATTATGGATTTCGTTTTGGAATTGGGATGAGAGTTTTCCTTTCGATTGAGTTTGTTCGTTTCAATTTTTGAGAGACGTGTTCGATTGTTCTGGCGATGGAACGATATCGAGTTGGATATATTTTTGATCAATTTTTGGCTCGGAGAATTAGTAATTGAAATTTCATACATTTTTGAAATTATTTTTAAAAAAAGTTATATATTGTCTTCTTCATCTTGTAATATTTTAATTATTAAATATTTAAGTTTGTAATATTTTTCATAGTTGTTACGAAAATCATTTTTATCCTTTGTAATATATAGGTTTATATTATAGGAAATGTTTTATACTTGTAAATGTACAAATAATATTATACATATGATTTTAGAATATTATAAAATTAAATAATATAAAAAAGGTGTAGAAAATTTTCTTTTAATCATGTATTTTTTTAAAAACACATTATTTTCCATAGAAAAATATTTATTCGTTTTTAAATCCAAAATTATTCAAGACCCTCCTCTTTTCCTACAATAAGTTTTACAAAATTATATTCATTTAAAAAGAAATCAATATCAAAACACAACCGTGACACGTATTCCAAATATTATACCACAAAATTTCGCACATCACAATAAAATACAATAAAATAATAATTTTCAAGTTACAAGTTAATACAAGATCTTGAATAAGAAACTAAAGATGCTACGTATCCTTCCATTTAATTTAATTAAATGTACATAAACTCGCATTTCCTACATCTCATTCGTTACATCACAAGCTAATTTATCTTCTCCTAATTATAAAATAACCTTAGAAGGAAAAAACACGACGAGCAAGCAATTAATTAAATTCTAATATGACGACAACAAAGTTCGAAAGAAACTTGTGTTGTCGATGGTGGGGGGGAAAAAAAAATTCCCCGTGTAAACAAGGGAGGGGGGTCAATATCGATCCACACGTCCCCATTAAGCCAACTCGACTCGCCGGAAACCTTACGCGTTTCCCATTCCTCTTCGTGTTTACTCGCCTCGTGTCTCTGCGATTTTCGCATGTAAACTTTCGACTGGGCCGTGTTTCGCTAATTGTGTTTGCCTTTAATGCGGCTACTTTGGAACGAGAATCGACACGTACGATCGATTCGAACCACGGTATCGTATAATTCGTTTTCTTCTTCTTCAAGAATCTCTTCTGTTTCAATTCAAGGGATTTAATCTTTTGTGAAATAATAATACAATTTTGATTGTTCTCAGGATAATTTATAATTGAGGTTTTAATATGATATATTTATTCAAAATTGAATAAATATATAGGTTTATATTTGATTTTAGTATTTTTATATTTTGTAAATGGATTCTTATACTTGTGTGAAATTTAATCAGATAATATACAATTTTAAGGTTTAAATTAATAAATGGAACACTTTATGTTATAGAATAAATGGAACAAGAACTCTGCAGTCATATTGGTAAAGTAAAAGAAAAATAGAAGAGTATTGATAAAGAACTTAAATTTTGACAGAATTATTTTCATATTATTTATCTTTCATTTGAATATTTAGTATACTTTTGATTTTATATTTCTTTAAAGTAGATTATTGTTCATCTTACACTACAGTAATTTTAAATTTATTCAAATAATATCTCAAATTTTGGCACGCGCGTTAATTATGCCAAATAACATTCAGTAATATATCAACAATAAAGCTTGAACTTGGAAGATTCTCTTTTGTTATCATTAATGTAATTATAGAAGCAATCACGGATTTCTCCTTTGTTCCTATTGCACTTGTAATTATATTGTAGATTATAGCAGATATTAATACATGGATATTAATGTATTTATGGTAACAAGATCTAAACGTTCCAGCTAACAAAAGCTAAACCAAATGAATGCTGCCTCGGCTATCCCATGATCTCATAATTCCTATTTATAGCTCTATGATTTAGCATAGATGCTGCAATAAACACTATCAGAAAATACAAAATTCTTCAGAATGTATATATAATCATAAAATATGGTTAAATAAAATTAAATACTTGTTACAAAAGAAATAATAATTTCTAATAATCTTTAAATCATTAATTATTTGCAAAAATTAATTCAATGATCAATTTTAAATCAATGAATAATTAATTTATTTTTATCATATTATATTTCATTTAAATTTTCATAAAATCAAAATAAAATTATTTAAAATTTCCACATTATTACAAATCATCACAAAAATGGAAAAGAATTTTAGAATTTTGTAAATAGTAGACAAGTTAACGTAAATACAATTCTTTTCATAAAGTTAAATTCTTTACCAATTTTTCCTTTCATTTCTTTAATACTTTAGCAATAGAGAAACTTTTATTGTTGACACATTGTGCGAAAAGTTTTCTAACAAAGTTAAACATCATATAAACGATACTTGAGAAAAGAAACTTAGCAGATATATAAATAAACTATTTACAAGAATATGTAACTCTGAATGCAAATATGACATAACATTTGCTAGCCATAGATAGAAAGTGAAGTTAACATAAACTACATAAAGAATACAAGAATTTAAAGATATATATACATAAACTTGGACTTGCTTCAGAGTATTTTTCAATCTTTTATGAAACTATAAAATACATTTTTATACTGCGATTACATTTTATCTTTTTCTATCATTTATTATAAATGAAAATGTATTATATTATTCTACTCTAATATATTAAAAAATGGTAAATCATTGATTAAAATTAATCATTGAAACAATCTTTACAAGTAGTTTAATCTCAGGAATCTCTAAATTATATCTATAAATTATATCTCACATTGTATAAACTACATTTTCCATTATAAAAACAGAAAAGGGAAAATTGAGATTTAAAATTCGTCGACGAAGAAATTTCTCACTTAAACTCGTCGAAAGTGATTTTATCCAAAACTGGGAGGTCGATGGACCTCTCGAAATCGATCCTCGACGTCGTAACCACTCGAGGAACGATCGTATGGACTCGAAATTTGGTAAACTCGAGCAGGGAACGTTCCAAGATCCCGATAAAACTTTTTCGATCGGCTCGTGAAACGTGCCAAGAGACGAGAACCTCTGCTCGAACCCTTGCCAAACAGAATCGTCGATTCCACTGCCGGACTCATTTAACGATCCTTGAATCCAAACAACAATGCACCACGAGGCTGATTTGCATAATTGCGAGTGTTTCCTGTCCAGTGGACGATTAGAGAAAAGTTTTGGATTAATATTAACGATTTTTATGCAGTCGAGATCGAGTTTAATGGGGCTATTCTCGAAAATTGGTTCGATGCAGTCGAAAGCTATAGCT